TTTTTTTTTTGAATTGTTAATTTTTGTTAATTTATTGTTTTAAATTCTAGTTAAAGAAAACCTAAAAGACAGTTGTCAGTTTTTAAATGCAATACTTAAGTAATTAAATATGTTATACTTATTATATTACAACTTAAAAGTTTAAGAACTGATAGTTATTATTTATTTCCTATTGCTCATTTTTATAAATTTAAAGATAATTTATTAATTTAAAGTCTAGTTATTAGAAAAAAGGAAAACTTTAAAGACTGTATTTTTTAATTATTATTATTTTGTTATTCGTTTTTATTGTTTTTAATGTTTAACAAAATAATATAACAATTTTATTTTAACAAATAACTATGGTTTAAATTTTTATTAAGGTCGAATGTACACTGTAGTCTGTAAATTGTACAGTTAAAAATGTAAGATATATTAATATTTAAATATTTAATATATTTAATATTATGAAATACTATGACATACTATTATACTAACATAATATTCAATGTTTACCTATTTACCTACCATAGTACCATACTACCATATCAAATATCAATGTTTTTATAAAACCTATTCTCTTGATTGTAAAATTAGTTTTTATACATTTTTAGTTATTTATTAAACAAAAAAAAAAAAATGTTTTAAATGAATGATTATTTTTTGCTGTTTAAATCATTTGTTTTAAACGTTTTAAACAAAACCATGTTTGATTAATTTAGATGTTTAAAACATGTTTTAAACATTTGTTTTAAACTTCATGTTTAAAACATGTCAACCCTGAAATTAATGTGTACCTCAATCTTTTCAGTAATCAATGAAATATTCGAAAACAAATTCAATATGTACCTACATGTATATTGTCAGGACCGGCTTAAGGGGTAGGCGACATTGGCCCACGCCTAGGGCGGCATTTTTCCTGGACAATTTTTATGTATAAAAAAAAAAAATATTTGATAAAATATTTACACGTAAGGGGCAGCAAAAACTAAATTTCGCCTATGTTTGTTTAAACACTTGAGCCGGGCCTGTATATTGTATATCTACCATGTGGTATACTAAAATAACATTATTAGATTAGTATTCATATTATTCGTACTTTTATATTTTGTGGCTCGCTCTAAGAAAATTGTTTACCAAAGTGGCTCGCAAAGGAGAAAAGGTCGGACATCACTGTGTTAAAGCGACGGTATACGAACCACACTTCACATAGTGAAATAATACTCGACAACTTTATAACTGCGTATGTTTATCTACAACGCAATGGAAATCTTTTGTTTTTACGGACATTTTTATACCCGTAGATTGTTCGACAGTTCCTAAATTAGTATCTGAATACGTTTTCTTCAAGGATACAAACTTCAATCATTCAATAGTAACCTAATAAAAAGTAAAACCTAATAATGTAGTAAATACACATGAAACCTTCATATTAGGTAATTATGGTAATATTGGTACTTTTCTTGTACACTTGTACGAAACCACCACTCCTCACCCGTCCTAGCCATCTACCAATGTATAAAAAGCACACATAGTTTATACTCCTGTATAATGCAAGACGTACAAACTAATAGTTTTCAACCGATTACGTAATAGTATGATGTAATAGAATTCGACGTAAAAATAACTAATCGGCATTTTAAATTTTTATGGAAAATAGATTTATATAATTCAGTTATCTATTAAACACTGAACCAGAAACAATAACAAAAGTATAATACATAAACATTTAAACAGTAAATCAATTTATTTTTTTTTCATATTTCTATATGTTATCACTAAAAGCCTGAGGAATTTTAATAATTTTGAAAAGGCATTAGGAAAAATGTTAAATAAGTTTAAATTTAAGATTTTATTAAGGTGATCATTAAATTATCAAAAATCTGTTATTTTTTTTATTTTGAAGTTATTTTTTATCAGTCGCTTTATATATTCAAACATTTATTATTATTAATTTAATGTTTAAAACAATTATAACGACGAGTGACTTGCATAATACTTAATCTATTCAAATTGTTTATGTATGTTAATCTAATAGCATTGCCGTTATGTTTAAAGACAACAGAAAAAAAAACGACGAGTGACATTTTGAATCGCACAATGTTATAATTTCTTCAAAAATACATGCTTCTTACTTTGTCGTTTTAATTATCATGAATACATATTTATTAAACTTTGCCCTATGCCCTTTGATTAATAATTTATTGGACTTTCAATAGAAACGAATTATTCCGGTATCTCGCTTGGATCGAATTACGATTTTTTATATACTATAATAAATTGGTTTCTAATTATGCATTCAACTACGCATTCAGAAAATGATTTTGAAAGCCACTGTTTTCTGTTATATGTAGGCTTAGGGACTAGCATTTGCATACTTTTGTTAATTATTGTTAAAAAATATCAGAGTGCGAAATAAATTCATTACTCGGTGCCATAATATCAGATCTAAAATTTGAGTGTGCATATTTTTGCATATTTTTACAATTTTTTAAATTTTAAAATTAAAAATTATACCATATAATGACTATTATAACTTATAACTATACGTACATATTTGAACCCATAAAAAAAAATATATATATATGCTATCTACAAACTCGGTGAAACACGATTGCACCCATCCTATCTTTTTACATGAAAAAAACACAACACGATTACGCCCAGTGAAGTAGCTCAATAGCACTCCATGAAATATAAGGTCTTGCCTTTCTAAAAATTTTCAAATATACTATAATATACTATACAAATACGGTAAGTGTGTATAACTCAAAGTTTAAGTTAGGTTAGATTATCAATTTTCCATCGAGTGTTTATGTTGACAATGATGTGACATAAGATTTTAGCGTGCTCAATGAACACCATCACCACAGAAAACATAGTTAGTAAACAAATAATAAATTGTAGAATAAAAAAAAAAAAAATGTGAAAACGACTTTTTTACGAGACCGACTAAAATAATTAGGCAAGAACTACGTAGCACAGAAAATTGTCAGTCCTAAGTTTGTAAAATTGGGAAGGAAAATTGTTAAAATGATAATTTAACCTAATTTAAACTTTGAGTTTTACACTCCAATTGTATTTTTAAATAGTATATTTGAAAATTGTTAGAAATGCAAGACCTTATATTTCACAGAACGCTATTGAGCTACTTCACTCAGCGCAATCGTGTTGTTTTTTTTTTCATGTAAAAAGGTAAGACGGGTGCAATCGTGTTACAGCCCTACAAACTACCACTTATAATTTTTGTGAAGATATAAATAATCCAATAAACCCGTATTGACCGTTTATAGGGGTCCGATTGGCGATATCCGATTATAGATATTATTTTATTAAATAATTTCGATTACTTGTTTAGTGTTCATTATAATATAAACTCTAATAAAATAAATATTTAATTTTACCACATATTTATTACACTTAATTTTTTTTGAGCATATCTTAGCGCTTATACGGTTATTTTTAAGTGCATATTTGGCCATTTTTTTGTGCATATTTGGGTATTTTTTATAGCTATAAGTCCCTAAGCCTAGTTATATTTATCATTTTTATTCGTACCGATTGATTTCTTTGGAAAAATCGTTTAATGAATAAAATTATTGTGGTCGAATGTAACTGTAAATTAATTAATTTACAAGTCCGAACATGGTTTTTTTCTTTTTTTTTGGTTATTTTCTACCACAATAGTGCTGCCATAGACATAATTCTTCGTATTATTGTACTTGCATACCACATTTATGCTCTTATTTCTATTTATATTGTTACTAGTGTGTTTGCGTTTTTTAATTATTTAGGATTTTAGATTACGGGCAACTGCAGTAACTGTCTAAGCTGTTATGCACTGACACAGAATGCGAGTTATTGTATGTATTTTATTAGCTATGGTATAATTTTTATTATTTCATATTTATTTAACTATTAGTGAGCCAAAAAGGCTACATTTCTGCGGTACTCTCTTGTATGTTATTGTGAGTTTTATTCATTTTGTGAGCACATAATAACTATTCAGAAAAATATAATTATCGCTACATATAGTAGCGCAGTGGTAGCTTTAACTTTTTTTTCTTGCTTACATTTAATATTTTTACACCATCCACCCTAAAAAAATGCACTGCTCTTCAAAAGGTAAACTCATCGGTTTTTAGTGGATAAGTAATGGGTATTTAATTTGTAGATACAACAAATAAATAACCCTACATCACTCCTAAACCAATTATACTGATATTACAAATCAACCCTCCCCCCCTATTAATATTTATACGAACCACGTGATTCAAATATACTTCCTTCGAGTCGCCACTATAGTAGCGTATTTTACTATTTATTTATTTACATCTATTGTTGAGCTAAAAAACGCAATATATTTATGCTTTATTTTTGTTCCAAAGTATTTTTAGGGTAATAATTATTATAACTGTTGTATATTACTACTTGTTGAACTAGCAATATGGCTATAATTACCTGATTATTTCTTATGTATTAATAATTTTTATATGTAAACACAAAAATATATATATCATATATTCATTCGCACACAGTTTATTACATTTATCATCCTTAGCACTGCTAGTTGTGTTTTCTTCTTCTGGTGTTTTTTTTTTAAATAATTACATTTTTAATTTATTTTAAAAATTAGATTTAAATTGTTAAATATAAATTATTTTAATTATTTTATTTATCGGTACCTGCGATTTTATTATCATATGATTTTTGTAGGTTTAATTTTTATACCTTCAGGGTATTTTATAAAAAGTACATTTTTAGCGGAAAAAATTAGTATACCAAAGATAAATGTAAAGAGTGATTTAAAATATTTACATCTTTACATACATAAAAGGATTTAAATATTTTTTTATTTAGTATAAACTAACGTTAGTAATTTAATGTCAAACCAGTTTCATATACGAGTATGAGTAAAATTAAACATAGAGTAAATCTTAAAAAATATAGAATTAATGATACAATTTGGATAGCACTGATTTTGTATGGACAAAAATAGGAATCGAACATATAAAAACATATTTCAAGGGTATATAATATAATATTTTAATGTTTTGTATATACATATTATAGAATCATGCAAAGAATTCGAGTGATGTATACATTAAAATAGAAACGCGTTCACCGATAGACAATGGGAATGCGTCAGAGGGAATAAAAACATTGATTAAAATTAAATACTATTTCTTTTGTAAAATATCCGGTGGTTTTAAAACATATTTTCCGTGGCGGCATTATTTTTCAATGCGACGCCGCTTGTTGGTGGACTCGTCACTGGCAATTACATCTTCCATCTCGCTCTTTTTTTCTTCCGCTTTAGCAATGGCCAACCTCTTCTTGATGTCCTTTCGCATCCATTTGAGTCCGGCACTACCAGTAGGTAGAAAAGATCCATTATCGTACGCATATCTAAGACAATCGTAATTTTTCTTTAAATAAGCAATCGAGCTTGCACAATCGTGCATCTCGCATCCGTTCTCGTAAGCGTATTTCAACATCTCCAAATTGCCTTTAGCTGCGGCTGCATATGTCACATCCGACGTCCACGAGCAACCTTTCTCCCGTAAATACTTGACCATATGCAGTAAATTACTCTGTGCTGCTGTTAATATAGACATTGGCGAATATTCCCACCCATTGTCCAATAAGTACTCAAGGCATTCAATCTGTCCGTACGCAATGGCCCATAGTCCTACATCTTCATCAATAAAGCAGCCATTACGAATAGCGAACTTCAAGCAGTCAAAGTGGCCACGACGAGCAGCGTAGCATGCCGTCTTCTGTGATAAATCGCCATTCAACGAGAACGCTATTTTGAGGCATTCCAAGTGTCCGAAAAACGCAGCGATGTTGCCAGTTTTTAAGTCCTTTTTTGGTTTTGGAATCATGTTCTTCGACTTGATGGCCTCAACAACGTTGAAACAACACTTCTTCACGTTCACTTTTCCCACGCCAGGAAGCTTCGTTTTATACCAATTTCTCATTTCTTCGCTGCATGCTATATACGATAACGTGCTCAGAGTCAATACCATTTTGCATCCGATTGTTTGGCAAAAACTACAAGTATAAACAAAAAATTAAGTAAAAATTAACTCGGCACTTAAATAAACGTTAAGGGCTATTAACACTATTAGTGGACGGATCCGACTTACCTCTATTAAATATAACCGTTTGAATATAGTATGGGAAGATCGTAGGCAACAGAACCTCGTTGCAATCGCAATAATAATCTGTAAAAAAAAAAAAAATTTAGAAATGTTGATCAGTTATTACTTCATCAAAAAGTTTCCATACCAGTTTATTTAATTATTTTAAAACAAAACTAAAAGGTTAGCAAAACTAATACGATTTTATTCATATTATATATTTATTCCGTATTCTCCTCGACGTCTATATACAACTACTACTCCATCAAACGAAAATATTCAAGATGATACCGACTGATTTATTCGTATATCAGATAAATTATTTAGAAAATCTTTTTGATTCATACATACTTTGAATGAAATATTATAAAAACTATAACTGGTGCCTAAGTATGAAACCCACAAGTCAAATATTTATTTTTTTTAAATATTCAATATATATATATATATATATTGATCAAACATATTAATATAAAATATATAAATACCTAATAATAATATAATTTTATAGTTAAATTATAGGTAATAATATAAAAGTAATCATTATAATAATTTAGGACATTTTAGAAATAATATTTTATACTATTATAGTGTATTAAATAATTTGTTTCAACACATTTTCATTTAATTCAACATGTTAGACATAAAAAATATATATTAAATATATAAAATAATTTATTAAATTATATTATTTATCTATAATAATGATTTAAACATTTTTAAACAAATAATAATAAAAATAGGTACTTTTATTCAGAAGAAAAATAACGAAGACAGTAAAATGTTGAATTCTTATATTATAATTTGTCCTAAATAACATTAATTTATCTTATATAAAAATAAGCAGGAATTTTTTAATTTGTTTCTATAAATGCATATTTTGAGGATTTATTATTAATTTTAATCGTTTGTAATCATTCACACGAAACATCAAACTCTTATTAAAATAAATGTATATATTTTTGTATCTAAATTTGAAAGTGAATAATTGTGAGCATTTGAAATTTATGATAACGATCTATAATTTATTTAAAACGTATTTCAGAATAATAATATGTGATAGTTACACATTCAATTATTGAGGACTTATTTATTTATTTCGCGTTTTATTTGTTGTATTATCTTTTATAATTGTTAATAGCTGCAACTTTTTTTATTTGTTATTTTAAGGCTCTCTACACACTACGTGATTCAAACGCTATGCAACTGAAATACATGACCGAAATGCGAAATTAGTACGATTTGGGGTCAACCAACATAAAACAATATTTAGTCGATGTACAGTGTCAATCGCGTGACACATTTCCATTTTAAAAATTTAAAAAATGTCGTCGGTACCAAAAGGACTTAGGTTAGGTTACTGATAAAACACAAATAACTTAGTCGACGGCTTCTTGTTTAATATGCCTGATCTAGGATAACTCTCTAAGTTAATAAATTCTCTTTGGTCCCTTCCGAAATGTCAAGAAATCTTAAATAATTTAATATACATAATAATATGCGAATTTCATTGTTAAAATGTAAATACACTGTTTCCACAACAAATTTTATCACAAAAGGTGGAATATTGATTTAAATATAATTTTTTTTTAAACTCATTCTGCAATTATAAATAATATAATTTATGAAGGGTGTTTAAACTAATAGTGGGCATACTCAAATTCGACACATCCGAAGTATTCGGATTTCATGAATTATTTATTCAATTTAACTGTTCAATGACTTATTTTTATAAACGCATACATTTGACTAAGATTATGCAGTAAAAATAAGTTAATTGGGTGAATACCCAGTCATGATATCACTATTAGTCACATAGGTATAAAATGAACTCAACAATTAAATACATTTTTTTGGTAAACAATAACAATTTATAAAAAACTGTTTGTCCATAAGACCATCCATGCACTACGTAATTCATTGGCGATGCTATATTTGTTATGAGAGATATTCGAGCAAATTGAATGGGAATCCACTAACGACCGCAATTTGATAACGACGCGATTGCGACAGACGATACGCGCGACCGGCAGTGCTAAAATCGCCTGGCTAGCCAGACGTCTTGAAATCGAAAACAAATTTAAACCAAAAAAATCAAAACAAGTCTAGTGGTTGACAATGTTCGATCAACTGAATATCGTTTCATGTTGGTGGACTAGAGATGGAAAGTTTAGTTCATTTCTGTGAATAGTTCATTAGTTCACAGTTCATTCAAGTGAATAGTTCAAATGAACTATTTTTAAGTTCACAAATTTTATTGATCACACTGATATTGTTTGGCAATAAATAATTCGTTTTATCACTATTAGTACAGCAGTACACAGTTCAGTAGTAGTTCACCCTACAAAATTTACTTGATTGGTATCCGCTATCCAAAATTTAATTTTTTCTAAGAGTAGGTAGTTAAACAGCGAGGACTAACTTGTAAAGGTTATTTAATATACACGATGAAAACAAAAGCTTATCAAAATTGTAATTTAACATCATAAACTAAGAAAAAATTATTATCAATATCTTCATGACTCATGTTATCATCATCACCTAATCCAAGGTGTATATATTGAACAGTAGTCATAAGTTAAATCAGAAATCTGATTTAATATTTGTATATTGTATGAATTTATTTTATTGTTAATTTGTTAAGAACAGTGTAACATTTTGACAATATCATTTATTTGTTATCTAATTGTAAACAACTGTTTCCATTTACAGGATTTCGAACAACGTACCACAGAGAATTTTTAAATAAGTTCGCAAACTATTTCATTTATACAATGCTACCAATTTTTTTCGAACTGTGAACTGTTAAGTTACAAGTACTGAAGCAATTCAGAATAGTTTAAATGAACTATTCGTTCACGAACTTAACATCTCTATGATGGACTTTAAATCGCGCAAATCGTTCAAATCTCACGGGTAGCACACATCGCCTTTCATCGCATCGCGTCCTGAGAGTCTAAGTATACTTTATAATTCATAAAACATAATATTAATTTGTTAAATTTTTATTACAATAAAATGATAAAATTTATTTTACTAGAAATTGAAAGTAATTATTAGCCACATAACAAGCAAATCTATAAATCCGAATAATCCATATACTTCGGAAATTCCGAATAAGACTTTGATTCAAATCCAGATATTCAGAAAATTATTCGGATTTCAAATCCATCTCTAATCTAAACATTTCTAGAGAAAAAGAGGGAAAGGTGTGCGTCCATCTTCTACAAAGAAACCATTGTGTGAGGTGTGAAGTTCATAAAAAATTGGCATATTTAAACTAAATACATGGCTCGGTTAATAAGTAAATAGCTTACAAAATAATTCCTGATTTTTTTATTTTTTTATAATCAAAATCGGTCATAATTTGTTAATACATTTGCACTTTTTCAACTTAAGTACTTATTTTAGGCAATTTATCTTAAATTAAGCAATTTATTTTAAATTTTATATATTATTTATATTGATAGATGCTATTAATAATATTGGAAACTTAATATTGGATAAAAATCACAAATAGTATTTATTTTAGTAAAATCCCGATAAACGGTCGGTTGCGACTTACCACTTTAGAGTATAACAACTTATACGGCACTTTGAATCTTGTCCACCGTCTCAAATCGACGAAATCTCACATCAAACAATCTGTCAACAAATTAAAATCACAGTTACTGGTCGGTATTCGATTTGGTAAAATGTAAATATATTCGTTTATATATATAAAAAAAAAAAAAAAAAAAATTGAAAATCCAACAACAGTTTTAAACCATCCAACACTATCCTCAACTCATCGTTAATATTGAAATCGGGCTTTTGCGGGAAATTTATGACTACGCCGTTAGTGATCTCGAAGGAGTACACAACTCAAAAAACAATTTTCTTTAATTTTTTTTTTTTTAATGTTAAATTATCATAGGTAATTAAATAAGATAGTGGCGGTCGGCGAACCGTCGTCCGATCGCCGGCCTCTGTGTATTAAAATAAAATAAATTGCCATGACGCACCGTTTAACAAAAATATCTCGTTTAGAATTTTTATATCGAATTTATGAAATGTTTATCACCTTAAACACGTAAAATTGAATTTTAAAAATAACATATTTAATTTGGTAAATTGCTGTGTGAAACGATTTCAAATAAAAATTACATATTTTTAACCATATTAGGTAGGTACTTGGTCCGTGCTGGAACTGGATGTTGGAAGATAAAATATATCCACAGGAATGCAAATGTAATAATAACAGGTGCTACCAGAATAATAAACGACCAACTACTCGGAAACTATTACAATATATGTATATACTTATCGAGACAAATATTTTCAATGCTATTTAGTACTTTTATATAAATCCAAAAATAATAAAAAAAAAAAAATTGAGTTAATTCATATGTAATTTATTTATGAACCGATTATTTAAGTTTTGAAAAACAACACAGTGTAATAATTACATTCATAGTTTACAACAGTGTAAAATATAAACTGTGAATACAAGTAATATAAAAAATATGTTGTAAACTGTTGTTCATTTTTACTATTAAATAATATAAAAGATTAAATTTATATATTAATACGTAGGTACTTTTGTTTGGTACCGATTAAAAAATATGGGCTTATAGATTTTCTACAAATATAGATTTACAATTAAAAAAAAGTTTATTATCACAATATTTATATAAAAATACATTCATATTATTAATAATTTTAAATTATACTTTGTATTTCCCCGACGTCCCGCGAATTATTGTAACTCGTCGAATAGTTTTCATCGGTTTTTCTGTTAATTAATAATTGACTATATTGAAGGCGTTTATTTATATTTGTATTTAAAATACTATTATTGCACTTATTTTACTATAGTTAATAGTAATATTGTTTTAATAAAAATAATAAAAAATAAAAATAAAATTTTTAAATTAATAAATGATTAATACTCATAAATTAATACATACATAAATAAACAAATATTTTATACATAGAATTAAATAAATTTATAAGTACTTAAATAAAAGCATAGCCTGGAGTATTGTTATCTTTGTAAAATATAACCAGTTTCGGATTAAAATTTCATCAGGTATATATAAAATTAATAAAATTGCGACTAAATATGAATTTAAGGGAAGGAAGACATCGAAAAAAAATTAGTTATTTTACATAGGTAGACATTTATTTTAATAGGAGAGATCTTAAAATAAGTTTTTATTAAACATAAATATGTTAAGAAATATAAATACTTTTTTTATTATTTATTATTATCTAAAATGTATTAATATAAGAGATTATTTTTAAAATATTAAAATTATTTTTCTTTATTTGATTGTGTATGTGTAACTTTTCTAAAATTGAATTTATGTAAATATTATTTTGGATATTTAATATTTCAAAGTCTGTATTGATATGAAAATGTATACTATGGTTATTTTCTAAAACATGTTTAGCAAAATTTGAATTAGGAGCAGTATTTTTAAATTTTATTTCAGAAATGTGTCTTTTATATTTTATTTTAAAATGTCTATATGTTTTACCTATAAAAAATGTATTACTGTTACATTTAATTTTATTACTTATGTTTCTTTAAAGTATTATTCGTATTAAACGCTATTATTACATTGGTATTATTGTTTAGAATTTTGGCAAATTTGTTAGATATATTATTTTATATTTCATATTATGATAATTAATATTATTTGGTGAGTTGTGTTTTATTTTTTCTTTATTATGTTTTATGATTTTTTTTTAATAATATTTAAATTTAAATTATTCTCATGGGATATACTATAGATAACATTGAGTTCGTGTTGATAATTAAGTTTATTTTATGGAATAAGTTTTAGTTTACAAAATATTGAATTAAAAAATTTAATTTTTGAGAATATGGGAGATTATAAAATCAGTTTGGTAAATTTCGTATAAATACGGCTCGGTACACATGTGCGTTATTTTGACGTGCGGCACCGCTGCATCATCGTAATTGCGAGGTGTTATATTCATAATTAAATTTACCGATACAAGTACGTCTCCGTCACCACGCGTTATCGTACGAGCACGTACGAGACAAAAATTATTCCGATAACCCAACGTAAAAATATCATAAATGCGGCATCCCATTACATAGCGATTTATTGATCGATACATATGTGCGTGTTTTTATCGTAATAATAGCTTTGAACACAAAATTTTAAATTTTCGATATCGAACTTTTTATTGCGTAAATAAAGATGTACCCTGAAGTTTGGAACTTAAGTTGTGAGTCGTTGTGAGTTGAGTTGTTAAGTTGTAAATTTAATGTTTATTTATTTATTTTGTTTATTTAGCCTCTAAATAAAATGACATCAATATATCTATAATATGATTTTATATATATGGCTTGAATATTTTGTTGTTAATAATATTATGGATTTTGCATATTATAATTGTGCATGCTAATTCCAGATAAAAGAAGAGCACTTCTTGCTTTAATAAGATGGCGCAGCAGCACTTACTGGATCAAAGAAGGACTTTAGAGTTAAAGTTAACGAAATTTCACCAAATATACTATTTACTCATTGAATGATTCATAGGGAAGCTTTAGCAGCTAAAAAACTTGAACCCTTTGTCAATGAAGTACTACAAAATGCAATTAGTGTAATTAATTTAATAAAATCAAAAACACTAAATTCTAAATTATTTACGATACTGTTTAAAAACTACTGTATTAAAGCACTAACTCAATTACATAGCATCCGGCACCGGCGCCGAATCCGGTTCCGATTTTATCCGTGTGTGTGAAAACGGCCTTAGTAGCCTCCGCATCACGTAAATGAGTGCAATGAAACCTCAACTAGGAGTCGGTAGATTCTAAAGAAGCAGCTATTCTCAATATATTCAATATTTATAAAAACCAAAACATATATTTACTCAATGTTTTAATAAAAAAACAATTAATATCCCGAAAAAATGTTGTCAAATAAAAAAATAAAAAATTGGAAGGTTGAGATATCAAAAAAGGGAGAAGCTCTTAATTTCATAAATTAATTAGTAACTGTATAAGTATTTATATAAAGTAGCCTTTATTTAATGACATTTTTTGTGAATACGATGATTATAACTATAAAATTACTTCAAACTAAGGTGACAGTTATAAACAGGATTGTCTTGTTTTACAACTTTGTATCCAGTTTCTTCAAACAGAATGAAACAGGATGTATGTAATCCTCTTTTCTATGATGGTTCTGATTTAATTTTATTTTTCCCTGTTTTTTCATCAAAAAATGATTTTAGCGATTAATTGATAAAAATGTTATTTATATAAAACTTATTTAAATATTTTTAACAATGAAATCCAGATATGTTGAAAAGTTTATTTTATTTTATTGTGGGTTTTTATTTTCCCTGAAATTACGAGGATATCGATTGCCGATAAGAATAATATATCATTATTGTTACTTTTTACAATAAATGTTAAAATAACATGTCTAACCCTACACGTTAATTAATTTTATTACGTAATTGAAATTATTTTTAATTATGATTTTATTTTCGAATATTTTCCTATATTTATAGTATATTTCAACATCTACTCTATACATAATTATTACACAAGTGTTTTAAACATTTATATATATATATATATATATATATATATATATATATATATAATGTGTTGATGTAGAACACATACGAATATCCGGATTACTTATAAATGCTATAATTATTATTAAAAATTATTCTTGTATGAATTTTATAATTTATTTTTTTTAAAAATAATTAATTATTGTGTTATGTAAATGTATTATGTTATATTATATGATTAAATAAATTCATCACAAAAATACGAGTTTTCAAATAAGAAGGGACTCCAATCAATAACAGAATAAAACATGTAAAATTAACAAATTAACTTATATTTATGTCTTCCACCCACAAACTGTTTTGCTGAAAGATCCTTTTCAACATTAAAAAGGATTAAAAACTTTTGTGATTGCGATTAATAAAGAATTATTTAAATAGTTTTGCGATTCTCGAAATTGAAAATGAAAGTTACTGAAAAATTAATTATAAGGATAAAATTAATGAACAAAAATAATAAATGAATATAGAAAATCCTGTCGGAAAAATGTTAAGCACCTACCTGATTATTTTGTTAATTATGTACCTATTTTAATAACTAATGATGCAACAGACTAATATTACAAGGACAGGAGCGGCAAAAAAATATCTATCACATTAACTTGAAATACATCCGGGTTATCTCTGGGTGTATATTATTGTAATATACAAATGTACAGTACCTATTGTATGGTGTCTACAGTCATCACTATGAGTATATATCTACTACGTACTATAATATAATTCAATATCTTATTAAAAAATAAAGTTGCATAATCTGAAATAAAAGTAGATTAATATGAAGTATAGAATTTAGAAATTAAAAAATATTTTATTTAATTAATATTTAATAACTATTAGTTTTAACAATGTACATTTTTTAATTAATTTATAATATTAAATTTTTGTAGGGATTTGAAACATCTATTTATAAATTTTGCTGTGCATAATTGTATTTCCAGAACATGTACACTTAATTAATAATATTATAAAAAGTATTTAAGCTGTAGCTTTAACACTTATATTGCTATAATAACAAAATGTTTTGAAATTGTAACTTAAAAAAAAAACACAAATATTAAAATAAAAAGTTATTTTTTATAAGGGTTTATTTAAGAGTTAAAAAATTTTAAAAGAATATTTCCCTATATTTTTACTACACAAAAATATTTAATGGAATATGTATTAAGCTCACACCTGCCTAACTAGTATGATGAAGGGTTATATGTTCAAAAAATGATATGTTCAAATATAATGTGTTTGAATGAAGAGTGTTTGATAAAACATATATTTGAATTAATTATTGTCCAAGTAATAAAATTGATTATTAAAAAAACATATTTATATTCATTATTTAAATTATTTATAAAAGTAAAAAATTATTACATGTATAGGTATATAGTCAAGTTAAATATTAAAAAAAAAATTATTTTAATTATTTAAATTTTTTAAATTAAAAAATATTTGTATAAATGTATTCAAAGTCAAGTTAAAACTTTAAATTGTACTCAATGCCTCTTAAAAACTCAATGTCATTCTGATTACTATTTGGGTTGTTTTCTGAATACCTAAATTTTATTTGTAATTCTGTCTTTAATAAATTATTCAATTAAGCTTTCATTCTCATTTTCTGTATTTTTTTAAAGAAGTGTTATGAATTTGTATGTACCTGGATGTTTCGATATCAACTTAGTACAATATTATACTATGAAATATGAAGTTTATACATTCAATTTGAAAATTACCTATTTAAACAACTATGATAAGATTCGATGATATTAGTAGTACGTGGCAGTTCATGCTCAACCTGTTGAGCTACTGACCATAATTCTGTCGGATATAACGGAGATCTTACTTGTAAATTTCATCAACGGGGTCTTACTGATCTACCAGTAACATATGTTGTTCTGAAGTATTCTATTAAATTTTGTTTCCTTTATTCAGTTGAAATATATATATATATATATATATATATTCAGTTTATTCAGTTATTCTTGAAAATTCAGTTATAAGCTGTTTCCAACTTCCATTGACCTAAATAAACAACAAATATATATTTTTAAAAAAATAATTCTTGCCTAGCTATGTATAATATATTTATACGTACTTTGGAAATTGGGAGGAATGTCAATGCTGGTAAATGTTGACCAAGTATGTTGAAGTTTTGATCTTCTGTATACTTAGTCATCAATCCTTCTTTTTATATGTGATGATATTTTGTGAAAAGTAAAAAAACAGGCAGAATGCATTGCAAATGGAAAAATATCATTAATGGTATTGATAGCAGCAATTTCAAAACCAGTAATAATTTCAAGATCTGTGTTATCTTTAAAATTAACCTTTATGTTCAATAGCAAAATCATTTAGTGCTGTAAACGTTAGTTTATATGAATTTTCAGATAGATTTGTTATAACTCTATATACCTTTATACATATATATCGTTATAACGATAAACACAAGTGGTAAAAATATCTGGTCATTTCCTCTCTTACTAGATTCATGAATTGTATATAATTGTTTAAAAAAAACTAGGACAAGACTTATATGTTCCGTTTGTCAAAATTCTGATTATCTTAAATACAAACAATTTTGAACTGTTGTAAAAATAATGGTTCCTTTTTTGTCATTGTAAATTTTCTTGATTAAAAAATATTGACCAGAAATTGTTTTTTTAATTCAAGACTAGTGTGAAATGTTTAACAGAAGAAGGTTTGATTAATTTACCTTTTCTCTGTCGTTTAATAAGTTGTTTTGATACATTTTTACTAATTTATGAAGATACAACAGAAAGAACTCCAATAAGTTGCTCCTGGTAAATGTTGTGTGGATTACCTTGAAATTGCAATGTAGCAGTTTTGATTTTATTTTTAATTATTTGCATTAATTTTGTATAGGATTGGTGCATGTGAATGATCCATTAATATACACGGTTCGTCTTAAATATGTTCATTGTTTTTAATAATTGTTAGAAATGTAGCACATTTTTTTGACATAATTCCAATAGTACACATTTTCATTAACCCGTTTACAAAAATTATTTTTGTTAAGCATAAATTCATATTCATTTAATAATAACATATTTTTATTATGTGTAGTAGGTATTAATTTTATAGTACATGTCAATATATTCGTTCACTATTTTGTTCAGTACGACAATTGGGAATATATTGCAGCAGTCGGTATGTTACAGAAACCCATATTATGATTACACTAACGATAACATAACGAGTAAATTAGTTATTGTTCTATATCAGATATTATATTAATACGTCTAACCGTCTTTCCCTGATTTCGAATAAAAATTCATTCTAACATATACTTTTTTCAAAAACTTTGTATTCAAACCACGGGCGGGTTTAAGGAGGTGGCTAAGGGAACATTAGCCCCTTTCCCTTGGGACTAAGCTATCTATTTTACAAAGCAAAGTATTATTATATATTAATAATTGAATAAAATATCGTCAATGGTCATTGATGAATATGGTACCTATTATATATATTTTTTTTATACATAAATAGCTCAATTTTCTTTTAATTATATGTATTTACCTATATTTTAAAATGGTTTCAGATTAAAATTGATACTAATAATGTAACTATTTAAACTTTGTCACTATTGTGAAAAAAATGACTTACTTAGGAGGGACTCAAAAAAAATATTCTGTAATTTAAAATTTTATATAGATTTAAAAAACCAACTAACTAAATTCTTAAACCCCCATTAGCCCCCCTCTTGGTTAGTGATAAAACCCGCCCCTGATTCAAATAAATAATTTTCGAACACATAACCCAACACCATCTAGTGTAGAAGTCATGTAAGCTTTTAGTTATATGGCTATATATCCTAATATAATTAAGATCATTAATAACAATCATGGTAAAAAGCCCATTCGCTTATTCAAAATCACAATATTAGTAGTTTATCTAAGTCATAGGGCTATCTACCATCTTCATCCAGTCATGCCATGATTCAAGTCTGTATAAATACAGGTAGTCTCATAGCAAATTAAATATATTTTAGAACCTTAAGTTTAACTCTTGGTTTAACTATCTTATCCTAATCGTTGCCTGCCAAAGTAACATTGCTAGAAGTCTCTAAGTTTAGTGACTTGACCAAAAATAGTGTATTGACAGGTCAAGCTCAATGGCACCTTCAAAGTTACCTAGGCAAACTTAAGTTCTTCTGCCCCTTACATGTAAATACTACATCAATTTTTTTTTTTTTTTGCATAAGCAATACTAAAATAGACTTAATTCTGAGATCATTATATTTAATTATGTAAAGTTAACAATTGATTAGATCAATAAATTTATAGAACAAGTAAACCATAACTGATTTAAATAAAACAAAACAATTTATAGTCTTATTCCTTTACTACACATAATTTGATATGATGAGTAGGTACTAGGAATTGTAATCTTTTTTTTTTTAAAATGAGTAAAATGTATAGAATATAAATGTTTAATACCGCTCTAGGCGTGGGTCTATGTTTTCTACCCCTTGAACTGGTCCTGTATATTAATAATAGTGAATTAATTAACTATTAAGTGTAAGATTAAAGTATTTTTATTTTAGCTAAACTTAAAAGTGTTTTATTTATATACCCTATACCCTATTGCATAATCAGCTTTATCATATACCACTCACATATACTTATACAGATGTGGATTAGAATAAAATGCATTGAATGTAACATGAATAGAGAGTATATTTACAGTTTCTTTCAGGGCAAATTTCATAAATTTATAAGACATATAAATAAATAAAATACTTAAGTGAAACATGGAAATAAATTAGATAGGTATGAAAAAAAGCACTTATTTCTTTGTGCATTTTTTTAGTACTAGTTTTATTAAATTTCTTGCTTAATAAATCATTCTCAATACCAATAGCTAGAGATGTAAGCTTGAAATTTTTTTTTTCATTAAAATTTTCAGCAACATTGAACATTTTTAATGACTGAAATTTACGGTTTTCGTAAATCGTAATAAATAATAATAATAATAAAAATTGTGATAATAACAATAGTGATAAATGATAATATACCGACTATTTTATGATTCTATTTATTGGTTTATTTATGGGTATGTTTGTTGTTTATTGTAAGTGACAAGTACAATAATGTCATTTTTAAAAAAAGAACAGATTTTTGTACTAAAAGTATACATAAGGCAGCTCATTTTTTAGATCCAATGTTAAAGGTGAAAAATTTAATGCCTGAAGAAGAAATAATAGGAATTGAATGTATATCTAATGTTGCAAAGTATACTGATAATATTGATTAAGCAACTGTGTTTGCTGAATTTGATCAATACAAAGTAAAAGATGGGCTATGGAGTAAAGAATTTGTCTGAAATATAGTTAACAAAGTATCTGCAACTACATGGTGGAATGGACTTTATTCTTCATCTCAGTTTTCCAAAATTGCTACAAAAATTTTACAGCTCCCTCAACATCAGCAGCATGTGAGCGTACATTTATCAGTTACAGCAATATTCATACAGTAAAAAGAAATAATTTCTTTTTACTGTATGAATATATTGAATTATTGTCTGACAAATGACCGTGCTGGTAAGTTAGTTTATATAAACCACAACTTAAGACTCTTACAAAAAAATCTTGAAAATAAGCCTACAACGGTTCAAACTGTATCATCACTTATAATATCTACCTCAGCAAAAGAACATATTTTGCATATAGACACTAGAAATGAAAATGATTCAGAATGAAGTAACGATTCATCTAGCAATTTACCTATTGATACGTTTTATTACAATCAGTCAGATAGTTCAACAGCTATTGTTTCAGTACCCAAGAACAAAAATAAAAGTATACTTGAATCAGATTCAAGCATTGATGATATACAAGAAGAATGTGAAAATCAACCACAAAAAAACTCAACTGTAAATTAACTACAAATGGTTGTCACTGATGATCATATAAATATGACCACTTTAAAAGTAGGAGATTTTATAGTGATTGAGATATTCATGTACTAATGTAAGATGTAATATCTAATAAAGATTTAATTAATTTGAAATTCCATTTTGGTTTTTTTTTAATTTTTAACAGAATATTTTTAATTAATAAAATATACTAAACAGTTAGTATTTGTATTTCATAAATAAATAAAATATATTAAAGAGTTTTTATTTTTATTTTTTTAAGTAAGTCGGTAAGTTTTTAAGTTTTTGGTGTATAAATGTACAATTAACAAATGGTCTGTAATTAAAAATCTATATGAAAAAATTTTTTCAAAATTTTCAGGATTATTGAAAATTATCATGGAAATTTACAGCACTAACAGTAGCTAAGTATCAAATTATTAAAATTACTTTGTGAAAAAGAGCGTTTTAATCTTGTTCAAATTAGTTTCAGTTTTGAGAATAATCATTCAAAATATACTTGAATACATAATAACTGATAAGAAATATAAAAGAAAAATGATAAAAAAATTGTGCTGTTGTTCCCTTGCGACCAAATCAATCACACTCACACAAAACCACACACACACATACACACACACACACACACACACACACACACTCGCACGCACGCACCCCTAACACTGACGCACTCACACAAACACGAACGCACGTATTAGCCGAGACTGTGGCTTCGAAAATGAGACTAAATTGCAATAAAACAAGCTTTTACAACAAAGGAAGGGGACTAGTCGACAAGAAATATCATCAAAGCTAACCGTTTACTTATCCCTGGATCCAACGCATGACCCGAAATTTGATCCTGCTTCGAGATGGATCAAACGTCTACATAGGTGCGGTCGGGAGTGTACGAACGGACACTCGATAAAAATGAAAATATAATCAATTGATATTTGTTGTGTATCAACAGAAGTTTGACGTTGACGAACGCTTGTTTTCGCGAAACTCGAAAACGGGAGAATCGTCATCAGTAACGACGCGTCTCGCGTTCACACTCGCATCACATACGGTGACCGTGTGGCCGCCATATTACATTAGACGAGACACCAAACGACCGTTTGTCATTGTGCCACCACACGGTTTCTCCGATCGTGGTCAACTGCACTTGACTGCTAAGCTATTGGCTATTACTAACTACAACAACTACTGCTATTTATGACTAACCTTGACGTCGGATACGTTGAGGTTCCTGACGAAAAGACGGTGAACGGGATTGTTCGATGACAGCCGACGGCACGAACTGGATGACGGGCGGCAGAATGCAATACGACCAGGACGACTCTGCTCTGAACGCGGATGGTGGAGGAGAGTAACACGAAACGCATAGACGTTAGGCGAGACAGAAAACGCGTGCGCGATACCGAAGCGACTGGACCGACTCTACCGGCAGGTCGTGCAAACAATACGGGTCGCCGATCCGACAACGAAACGTTCGGTCTCGCGCGCAACGATCGTAAACGATGCGGCCATACTCGTCATTTACAACGGCGGCGGCCGGAGCCCGCGAACTAATTTTTCAAATCAACAGTTGGCGCGAAAATTGTTTTTCTCGTCTCTCGCGTCAGATGTAATGATATTCTTATAATAATATTTGTTCGCACAGTGCTTTGCAAACATATGCAACAGGCACGCCGTAACATAAGAAAATATTAGGTACTTGGGTAGTTAATTACACAAGTACATGGAGTGTATCAAATATATTATTCATGCATGACTACACCTACCTACACTATTTATTTATTTAATCACAACTATTTCAGAATATTTCTACCATTGTAATACGGTATAATGCGGTATTGTATTGTACAATAATAATTTCACTATATGGTGATAAATATAATAAATGTATTAAAAGTGAAAGTCGTATGCATTTTTCATACATAACAGGGATGGACAACTCAAAGTTATTAAAAGGCCAATTTTTAGAAAGTTAAAATCCAGCGGACCGAAGCATAGGAAAATAAAAGGTCATTCAAAATATGAATTTTAAATAGTATTTATATACACGGTAATAAAAAATTCAACACACACGACAGCACGAAACGAATCATACGAAGAAACTAATACAGATAAATAGTTCGGTACAGTTATGTTTGAAAGCTATATGTATACGTACATACGACATTTAGACATTTAACAATATTTACAATGTTTTAATATCAGATCACTATTATTATTATATCAATAAATGTATATACGATACATTTGAAAATTGTATGATGTAATTTTAAAATATAGAATGGCCCGGACAAAAAAGACTCGAAGGTCGGATGCTGCCCGTGGGTCGCCAGTGGCCCACCCCTAATAAATAATATAAAGAAAAACAAATATAATACTAAAATACAAATTTATCACACCTAACAAAGATATTAATATGTTATTAATTAAAATTATAAATTATAATAAAGCTTAAAATACAAAAATAACAAAAAACCAGGAACTTGAATTATAGTAATATAATTTTAAACTATAACTAACAAAATTAGAGGCGTAAAATAAAAATAATTTTTCATGGTCTTAAATTTAAACTTTAAACTTAAAAGCTTAAATGTAAATGTTACATATGTTAAATATGTTATACTTTTATATACGTTTTCGGTTAAACTTCACGATTTTAAAATCTATCAAGGAATGATGCTTTTAAAATAGAAAATAATATCAATGGCGTCCATTGAGGGGGGGGGGGGAGAGGCAAATGTCCATTTCTTGTTTTTTTCGTGTTTTTTATACTTTTTTACATATAATATAATAATTATTGATTTATATTAAATATATATTAAAAATATTAACTAATCTTTCACGGGCGAAACTTTACCACGGGAGAACGAATTCTGGGAATAATGGATACTAATTATAAACTTATCGATAACGATTGCTGAGTAGTAGAGAGGCACACCTGTCACTCCCCCACACTAGATTTTTGATGATGGACGCCATTGAGTCATGGTATATCAATGGAATAACAAAGATTTTTTAATGGGGGGGGGGAGTCGAAAAATATGATTATTTTAAAGTAGGTAGCTAGCATATTTAATTATTCTTTTATAGTTTGATTAATTAATTAATTAATTTTATTTTATTTATTTATTAATTATTGTAATTATGATATAAAACTGATTGATAATTAAATAAATGCATTATGTAAAAAAAAAAAAGTAAAAGTTATGTACAAGATAAAAATTGAAATCTAAGCAATGTTTTGCATAGCTTAAATGTTGTATTACTTCTTCAGGTATTACACCAACTTCGTAATGGACATTAAGAGTAGCTAATCCATTTACGACTCTTATTTCTGATGTAGAATGTCTTAAATCTATTTTCGAATCAATTATTTAATTTTGCCAAACATTATCATTTTATAAAGTAACGACACGGTTCAAGGGGGCGGGGGGTCCAGTCCTGAGGACCCCCCTACCCCTGATTGTTCCACTGTATTAAATTGTATGACAACAGTGGGGAGTGATCAATATCAATCGCAATTCTTAATTTTAAATAAAAACCACACAAATTGAAGTAAAAACGAAACACCGATTCTTTATTAGCTCAGAGCCACAGAGTTGACATCAGCGCAACACGATAAATATCGAGGAAAAAAAATAAACATTATTTTCGCCGTACGAGTCCAAGAACAGTAAGTTGTGTACAACAATTGGCGAACACGTAATCTTCACAAACATTTACAACGATGTTACGGGTGGGCGGAAGGCGTCGCGACCCGGGTCATTGCAGGTACTCGGCCAAGTGCTCGTGGTGAGCGGCCCATTCGCGTCCGACCTCGTTCCACCGGCAGCCGTTGTCCAGCGCGTACCTCAGGCAGTCGAAGTTCCGGCTGCTCGCCGCCCGGAAGCACGTCTCGTCGTGCCACGGGCACCCGCGCTCGTGCGCGTACCTCATGCACTCCAGGCGGCCGCTGATGGCGGTATAGTAGCTGACCAGCGTGTCCCACGGGCACCCGTTGTCGTGCATGTACGCCAAGCAGTCGGTGTGGCCGCCCCGCGCGGCGAACACGCAAGTCACCTCGTCCCACTTGAACCCGGCGCGGTGCAGGTACCGCAGACACTCAAGGTGCCCGTGGTTCGCAGCCAGATCGCACGCGTTCCCGGCCGTCGGGCACCCGTTCTCCACGGCGTACGCCAGGCAGTTCACGTGCCCGTTGCTCACGGCCCGCCGGCACGTGTTCGCGTCCCACGGGCACCCGTTCTCGCGCGCGTACCGCAGACACTCGACGTGTCCGCCGGCCGCGGCGGCCTCGCACGTTTTCCGGTCCCATTGGTGTCCCATCGCACGTGCCGTCCGCAGACAGTCCACGTGGCCGTTCAGCGCGGCCAACCAGCACATCCGGTCGTTCCGCGGTTTCGCGTCAGGCGAGTCCCTCTCCAGCCGCACCCGCGAACCATTCATCAGCGCGTCGCAGCACAGCCTCAGGTCCACCTTGATCGTTTTTTTCGGCACCGTGTCGTACCAACTTTTCGCCGACTCATCGCACGCGTTATACGCCAACTTGACCAGAGAGAACATGACAGTGGTGACAGTAGTGTCTCGTCCGCACACGGGTCTCCGTAGATGTGCTGCTGTGATTACGAAAATCGCAATTGCGTCCGCAAACGGCCGAAACGATCTGTCAACCGGATAAACACTTTAAATGTTTTTAACGAATAAACAAAAATCAACAAACGAAACATCAATGTTTAAACTATTTATTTATAATAGTAATAATAATAATAACTTTTTTACACGAATCAGTTATTTACTACTTTATATCAATTATTAATAATTTTATTATCTATGTATAATATTATTATATTTAATTTTTGGTGTAGGGACGTCTCAAAATCGTATTTGAGCGTCGAAAAAGTATAGAATAATTATAACCACCCACGTTATATTAACTTTTGAAAAACAAACATTTTACGCAGTTTAAAAAATAATATTTCCTATGTTCTCTCAAAAAGTTTTTCTTTTATGGCGTAAAAAATTAGTAAGTTCTTAACATTAAAACGTTGGTGTTTTATGTGAATTTTCAAAAAATGATATAAAATCATCGAAAGAAGAAAATATAGAAAAATATGGAAAAAAATATAGAAAAATATATTAGAAAAATCTTTTTTTAAAACACAGAAATTTTTTCATTAATATTATGATGATATTTTGTGATTTTTGATTTTACCGTTGCCGTAGGGTTTAAGATTCTAATTTCCACGAATCGAGTTTAATTAATGAACAATGTTACCTTATTACGGTAATCAGGGGTGGTTTATTAGGGGAGAATTTGAGAATGTGTCTCCCTTTAAAAAAAAAAAAAAAAACAAGTACTTGTAATTAATAACTATTTAAAAATAAAAAAGTATAAAAATATTTTCATTTAAATTGAAAATATATTTTATCGTTTTCTGAATTTATTATTATAAATTGAAGGCCATAAAATCTGAAACGTACAATTAGTTATTTCGATAGAAATACTAATTTAGCCATGTCGACGATGATCGCCTTTCAGTGAAACTGATGCCCGACTAATTCAATACATAACATGTAATGGTTTGGCTTATTGGACGGAGGGGGTCAGGGAGAATCAGCTGCGTATTACAGACGCTATTGAAACTGGATTCACAACAATAATTTCGTTGCCACCACGCGCCTTTGTAAGCCGCTGTACGCCGTTATCTGCTTTTATTCAAGAATTCGTAAATAAAAAAGGTCGTTTTGAAAATTTGTTTATAAAATAATTTGGCATTAAATTAAGTTAAAAATATTAACTAAATATTAAATTAAGTATTAAGTATAATTTATTTTCCAATAAAAGGGTTTTTCTTGATCGTCGTCGTATGCAGTGGCGGTTTGTGAGTTCTGGTGGTGGGGGTACGACTTAAAATATGATTCCCCTAATCGTATGTTCATCAAATAAAATATAAAATAATACACAACACACATTTTATTACTTTTAAGCTTAATATTTTATTTGTTAAAGTATCTTAAGCACAGTAATTATCCAAGTATATTACATAATATAAACTATATAATTTCAAAATAACTGGAATATGGATTACTGGAATTGTTTTCTGAATAAAATCCATGCGCCTGTTACTCGTTAATGATAATGTATCTTACCAGTGTCTAGTCGTAGGCCTCAGAAAAAAATAGAAATAAAATTTATAATGTCAAGAATGACGCTGCTGATCTCGCACCCGCAAGTACACAATTGCTTCGCCATCGCCTTAAAAATAAAGACTATGGACGAGTTGCGGTCCGACATTATTTTAGCCGTAGATGAGTAGCAGCCCAAGTAATTATCATTGCCTATGTACCTATTGGCCATGTACCTGTTTCTAGAAACGCAAAACAATATTATTAATA